CCATACCCATTTACCTATATATATACACAACCATACCCCTACCTACATATCCAAACACTTTCATATACATACTTCCATACAAATACATACATACCTACATACATACCCATACATATACATGCCCATATACATACATGCACAGAAGAAAAAAAAAAAAAGTTGAATGCTTATAAAAACATTTTTTTTAACTCAAAGGAAAATCTCAAGGTATGCACAGCCGTACAGCAGCAGGCACCACTGAACTCAAATACGGCTGTGGAGTGTCAGTGATAAGTCTTGAGAGCAACAAGGCAATATGTGTCTCATGTTCTCTTTTTTATGGGTAGATTTGGGTTATTTTAGTGCTTTAGAATTAGGAGGCCTAAATATTTGAGTTAGTGTTTTAGGGCTAGTGGAACTAATTATTAGATTAGTGCTGCCCACCACTGAGTAAATCTGACATTTTCTGTTCTCCCTTTTTTTTTTTTTTTTTTAAAAGCTGACTTCCGCTGCAAAGACCGTCGAAGCTGCGTCCCAAAAAGCCAAGTTTGTGACGGCCGCTCTCACTGCAATGATGGCTCGGATGAATTTAACTGTCAGAGCGCAGCACCTCCTAATACTCCAACCAATGTCCTGAAATGTCGTTTTGGCTCAAAACCATGTCGAGATGGAACAGGATGTGTCCTGTTGAATCATGTTTGTGATGGAGAGAGAGACTGCCAAGATGGATCAGATGAAGAAGGCTGTGGTATTTATTCAAATATTGATGAATCTTAATTTTTGCTAATTTCCTCTAAAAGCCTTTTGTTTTGGGCTCTCTGTGATTCTAGATAATGCAGGGAATATTCCTGATACTTCTGACCAAATAAAGGATATGACTGAATCTCCTGTACCAACTGAGGAATCAACTCCACCTCCCACCAGCCCACCATGCACCAGCCCCTCAGTTCTCTGTCCTAGTTCCTCTATTTGCATCAGGCCATCACAGATGTGTGATGGAAGGAGCGACTGTCCTGATGGGTTTGATGAGAAATGTGTCAAAAGATGTCCATCTAGGAGTAAGTAGTTTGAGAATGTGACAAAACTATTTGATTTAAACCGAAAAAAATAGACTGTAGGTTAAATGGTGAGTTTAAAATATTAAGATTCATTTAATTACAAGAGATACGAAAAGGCCTATATATTTTTGAAGGAATGCATGTAAAGCATACCAGCCTCAAATTAAGAGAATGGACTGCTCTATATATATGGTCAAACTTGACGAGAAATCCCTCTAGACAAAGTTAAATTATTAAATTAAAGTTTTTAATGGTCTGGCCCCATCATATTTATGTAATCTTCTTAACATGTACATTCCAGTCGGAGCACTCAGGTCTACCAACCAGTTTCTGTTGGATGTTCCTAGATCCAAACTGAAATCTAGAGGTGATCAGGCTTTTGCAGTAGCTGCTCCAAAGCTGTGGAACGGTTTACCTCTTAATATTCAGTCTGAGACTGAGGCTTTTAAATCTTTGCTGAAGACCCATCTCTTTTCTTTGGCCATTGATTAAGACAGAGTTGGGGGTTCAGTTAGAGCTTTTTATATATAATATTGTTTCTGTATTGTATTTGTATCTATGATTTTGTTTATTTTTTGATAAAAATCTTGACTGAACTGTAAAGCACTTTGGTCAGCTTGTTGTTTTTAATGTGCTATATAAATAAAATTGATATTAAATTGTTTGTCACTCTACAGGTGACTTCCGCTGCAAAGATCGTCGAAGCTGCGTCCCAAAAAGTCAAGTTTGTGACGGCCGCTCTCAATGTAACGATGGCTCAGATGAAATGAACTGTCAGAGCGCAGCACCTCCTGAAAGTCCAACTAAAGTCCTGAAGTGTCGCTTTGGCTCCAAACTGTGTCGAGATGGAACGGCATGTGTTGTATTGAGTCATATTTGTGATGGAGAGAGGGACTGTCAGGATGGATCTGATGAAGAAGGATGTGGTATTTATCAAAACGCATAAGAAAAATCTCAATTTTAATTTGTTTCTGAAACAAATTGTCATTTTTTTTGTCTAATTTTTTTTTTTTCATTTTTAGATGATGCTGAAAATGCTCCGGCCATTTCTGTGCAAAAAAAGGACTTGACTGAATCTTCTGCTCCCATAGAGGAATCAACTCAAACTCCCACCACTCCACCATGCACCAGCCCCTCAGTTCTCTGTCCTGGTTCCTCTGTTTGTATCAAGCAATCACAGATGTGTGATAAAAGGAGAGACTGTCCTGATGGGTTTGATGAGAAATGTGTGAAAAGATGTCCATCTCCGAGTAAGTGATATGAGAAATAGACAAAACCTTTATTTGGTGAGAGGGTTGTGGTTAAATTTGGACTAAAAAGGTCTAAATTTCTTTGCCATAAAAGCAATATGAAATATAATGCATTCCTTCAGACTGTAGCAGTACACTCTCTTAAAGTTGTCTGAATTAGTTCCCGCCAACCAAACTTGAAATTGTTTGTCACTCTACAGGTGACTTCCGCTGCAAAGATCGTCGAAGCTGCGTCCCAAAAAGTCAAGT